TCTCTGCTATAGTTTGTCTAGCATCATCGTTAGTTCGCTCCTCACAGGCACTTGTCCTCTGCAGGGTCAGTCTTGCCTCTCAAACGAAGCATATTTACCTTGTTGGGCACACAGCTGTGGAGCTGGGCCGTGCTTTCCGAGCCTCACACAGGTGCCGAAAGCCCTTGCCTTGTATCCGCGTTGCCTGCAGGATGGTAACTACCGTGCTGCTGGGCGCTTTGCCTTGTGGCAAATGTGGTTTGGATGTAATCTTTGTTTGGAAGTTCTTTTTATTCTAATACATAGCTAGTAAGTACGTTTTTAGAGTGCACGTGCTTTACTGGGAGAAAGGATGCTTGCCTGGATCCCGAGTTGGGGGAAGCCCTGCGTTTGGACCATCCTGCTGGTTTTAAGCACAGATAGACAAGCCTCTCTGTGTTTTGGGAATCACAGACAGTGAAATCTCATGCTGGAGACAACATTTTAATGTTGGATGGAATACATATAGCCCTGTGCATGTGTTTTTCAAGGAGAGATGGTATGAAAGATTTGAAACTGGTGGAGGAGTTTCAGGAAAGCTGGTTCCTAACACCCAGCCCTCAGCCTCTGTGTGCGTCTGGCTGAGGTCTCAGTGTCCGAAATGCCCCAGGGATCCCTGTGTGTCGGGGATCTACATGTGCTGTGACTCTGACCTTCCTGCTAAATGTGGCCGGACGCTGAAGCCTTGGATGGTTGCTCAGGTGTACTCTGGTCGCGGCAACACCCACCAGCTCTTCTGTTGCACGGGACAAAGCACTTTGCAAGGTAAGGAGGTGTTGGGGTACTGGGTGGAGATGGGAAAAGCCGAGCTGATAACAGGTTCAGTATATATATAGGATGGTCTTGGAAAGACCTGCTGATCCATGGGCAAGCAGGACATGGCTGAGCAGTCGTTGAAGCTGTTTTCTTTTTGGTTTGTTTTCCTTTTTAAAAGTTTGAGTTGAAGATCCTGGTTAATTTCTAGGCCCTTTCTCCTGCACATTTTAATTAAAAGAATAAGTGACTTGAGTTTCTGACATTATCCCTTATTAAATTCACTCTCAGACTTGCTTTGATTCAATCAGAAATACTTACCAAGGACTTAGATGATGGGAGCTCGTTCCCTTAAGGCTGGGTCAATGTTTGAGCCTGGCACAGCCACGGAGGAGGTGGGGTCCCTGCGAAGCTAGCACTAATCCTGTCTGGCATCGGGGGAGCGCAGAGGACGCCGTCTGTGCCAGGTTGTTGTTAGATGTCTGGGCTGTTACTACCGGAGCTGTGAATTACTCTCGCTCTGTAGGATTGCTGGATGAGCCTTGTCTGGTTGTGGGCCATGTGCTGACTTCAGGGGAGAGCCTGTTTCTCCTGTAAGAAACTGGGATTTAAGTGCGTGTTGTGAATTTCAGCCCTTTAGTCTTACCTTCCCTCAGCAAGCGAAATCATGCCTGTTTGTCATGAGTAAACGTGTTTGGTGCCTGTCCTGTAAAGGCTGCAGCAGGGAAGCTGGGCTTCGGGCCCCGCTGGGGGGGGGGCACTGGCACCCAGGGACAGGCTGTGAGAGGTACCGCAGCTCTGGCACCAGGTCTGCTGATGCTCTCCATAAAGCCAGCTGGCTTCTTCAGCTTGCAAAGCACCTGCAATTTTATTCTCTTTGGTAGAAGTAAATTAATTTGATTCATACCCAAGACAACTTATATAAACATTTAGGCCAACTTCTCCATCAATGAGACAGATTTTTTTTTTTTTTCCTTTAAAATCTGTCACTCTACGTGTGTTGTCTTAGCTGAAAATCAGTGCTGACTAGCTCTCTTGATGTGCTAGGCAGGACCCCACCGGTAGCTGTTGTAGGGTCGTTCCATGTATCCAAAGCAAGACCTGAAGGTGCTTGGGCGAGAAACTTGCGAAGAAAAATGGTTTGTAGCAGCGAATTTCCTTCCAGAAGAATATGGGCTTCTGCTTGCAACACACCACAGGTCCCACAGTGGCCTGGCTGCATTCTGCACAGGTGAGAAGTAGGCTGGAATAACTAACAAAGCAATAACAATAAGCATTAAATCGTGTGTTAGACATTCAGCAGCAGTAGCAGCACTGCCTCTCTACATAGCCTTTTTTTGGGGCCCAATCCTTCGACGTTGTATTTTATGGGATGGGACTGCATTGGGTCAGGCTGGAGGGCTTTGTGGAGCTCTGGGTGAGCAAGCCCGTCGGTCTGGGTGCAGCCATGAGCTCTGTTTGCTATGAGGATGCTCCACGGGGATCGAAAGGCAGAGGTGTGCTGGGGACAGCTGGAGCCGATACTGAGGCGTTATAAAGCAGCCATAGGTGATGGGCAGTGCCGCTGGGGAAGGACAAAAGCAACTGCTGCTGCCCCTTCAGCTCACAAAACCAGCAATCCCAGATCGAGTTGTTCTTCTGGGATTCCTGGGCTCAGAGGCTGACAGGACCCTAACGGGCTTGTTGGCAGGTTCGTGTCAGTGGGTGGGCTGGGAAAGGCAGGGGAGCAGGACCTTCCCCAGGACTTTGTGCCGTAGCTACGGTGCTTTCCCACGCTTTCTGCGGGAGCGGAGGTAACAGTGGTACAGCAACCAAAAGGTGTTTCACGAATGTGTCTCGTTTGGTGCCTGTTCTATAAAGACTGGCCTCAAGCGCGTTCTTTAGTAACTCTTTTCCTTCCTTTCCAGCGAAACCCCATCCCGGTTTTCCCTCCAGTGGCTGCAGCGGGCACTAAGCGTTGCGCAGGGTTGCTATCTAGTGGCCAGAAGAAGGTAGTGAGTGGATGCTTTTTTCTCTGCTGGTTTTGTGCAAGAGGACTGTGCAAGTTGAGATACAGGCAGGAGCCTGTTACATGTATTCCTGCAAAATGTCAGGGCTATGGCTGTTTTTCAGTGGGTTAGCTGTCCGCAAATTGTTTTGGTTGATGGTGCAGTCACTGCAGAGGACTAAATTATTTCAGATACAGTCCATTGCAGTTGTAGACTGCGTAGCTAAGGGACTTTGTAGTAACTAACAGGGGTTTGATGTACTTGAAATCTATGGGAAAGTAGAGCAGAGACAAGCCACGTTACAAAGAAAAAAAACCACCAGTAACATCGTATACTCAACATTTTATTATAAAACCCTCTAAAGCGCCACTTTATAGGTCACAGTTACAACAAAGGAAATGCCTTGAGTTAGGAAAACAATGGGGACACAGAGACATTGTTTAACGGTTCTCGTCTGGGGAATGTGTGTTGCTCAGGACTTGCCCGTGTTTACCACCCCCTGTTGGAGATATCCCAGCAGGACCACCAGGCTGTGGTGCGGAAAGCTGCTCTCGTCCATCGCTGTCTCAGTACCACTGTGAAATGTCCGGACAACTTCTGGAAGACAACAGCGGGCTGTATGGTAAGGGCATGGTACTACACGTATATTTAGGGTGTAGAGAGGGTCTTCTGCCAGCTCACGATGGGGCAAAACAAAAACTTCATGGTGTCTATGGCCTCGCTGTGTTTTGAAGAGGGAAGTCCCCTGGGTCATGAGGCAGAAGTTTCAGTGGTTTATTTGCATGAGTTTTTCCTATGTGCGAACCTTGCACAGGGACAGGCCTGACAGCAGGGGTTGATGAACTCCTCTTGAGGCTGAGGATTAGCAAATTAATTCCTCCCTCTGTACTGCAGCAGAGACTTTAAAAGTAAAGAAAAAAAAATAACCGGGAGTGAGGGCACCTTTCTTACCTCCAGGATACCCTGACCCAAGTGCTTTGTTGCACCCCAGCTCTGTGATGGTGGCGAGCAAACCAAGAGCCCCTCAGCAGCACATCCTCACTCACCCCAGTGCCATCACTGCCTCTAAGTGTCACAGCCCTGTGCACCGCCCCAACAGTTGTTGGGCCTTTGTGTGAAGAAGGAGCACTCTTTTAGAGGTAGCCTCAGGCCTGCCAAAGCTTTTCAACAGTTAGGAAAGGTAGATTGTGCCTGTCTGTGTTGACCGTGGCTCTGTGTGATGCTCACCGGCGTAGCTGCAGGACCCCAGGAACAACCCAACCAGGGAACTGGTGCTGCTTTAGCTTTGCAGGGCTGGAGAACAGCTGCAGCCCCTGCCCAGTCAACCCAGTTACTGAGCCTGGGCTCCAGGGCTGAAGGACCATCGGAGGTGTTCAGGCAGGTGACAGCAGGTGACAGGGTGTGTGGATTTCTGACCCCCCTCCCTCTACCCCTTCACATTGCAATGCCTCTATGTCTGGCAGTCCCAAATGTCCAACATCTTTCATTAGAAAGCTTGGCTGGGGCAGAGGGGGGTGGGATTTGTGGGTCACACTGCCAGGGCCCAAAGGCTCTATTAAGTGTAATAATTTGGAAATAAGGATGACAGCACCAAGACGGCCAGCAGCCCACCAGAGGCATGGTGGTGCAACCTCGCCTGCTGGGCCTGGAGGAGGACAGCCCTGCCCATGCGGAGGGGCCACTTTTGCATGGGGATGTCTTCAGCAGATTGTACAGCTGTGGGGCTGCTTGGCCTGCCATGGCCCTGGGGGGACCAGAGAGCATCAGCAAAGTGGTGCTCACAGCCCAGGCAGGAGCATGGGGACTGCACTACCTCCCCTCTACTGGGAGAGGACAAGCCCTGAAGGGTACATTGGGATCCAGCTTCCCTGTCCAACAGATAAGCAGATAGGCCTTTGATAAATTATTAACAAACATTCAAATACATGTTTTTTTCTTTTCCAGAACAAACTCCTCAGGCGAAGTAGATCAAGACCTACAAGAAAATTAACCGACTTGGCAGATCTTCTTTGCCCAAAGCTCTTGGTGCCACCAGTCTCTAGCAGAGCTTACAGCACAAGAAGGTGAGCAGGGATCTTTCTCAATATTCTGGCAAATCTGCAGCAGGCCGGGAGGAGTAAGCACATGCTGGGATGCATCGGGACACTGATTGAAAATTCCCTGGACAGGCTGCTGTGTGCTTCTCATTCATGTCTCAAGCATTGCTCAGGCACGTGTATTCGCCCTTGACTGAAGGCTGGATGATCTGCAGCTGAGTGATGACTGGCAGTAAGAGAGGCGAGACTTGAGCTGACTGCAGTTTGCCATGACAGGTTGAAAACCACCAAGGTATAAAGAATAGCAGAGGCCCCTTCTGAATCCGCTACTGTCACTAATATAGAAACCTTAATAACTCATTGATAAACCTTCAGAGTAGAAATACACAAAACACCCCTATGTACAGTAACATTCTTGTTTACATCAACTGGGTTAGGAATTTGATGCAAGGATTGCCACTGGTTGTTATTGGTTTAGCTACGTGATTGGGACTTGTCTGGAAAGAGCAAGATCGTTTGGGATAATTCATATCGGCAGCTGTTGACTCCATTGCTGCATCTGAGCAGTTGGCGTGACACAGAGGTGGCGCTTGGTGTGTGCTTGTGTTGCACACCCAACCTCCACCTACAGATGATTGAATCCCCTTGGCCATGCATTGGCAATTCCAGTCTTTAGTCCATCTCTGAAAAACGTGGTTCTAACTAGCTCCCTTCTTCTCCCATTCCTGCCAAGGAATAAAGGCGATTTAGACAAAAGGCAAATCTGGCAAGCCACAGGAGCTGTAATGTGCACAGGATCAAACCAATCATCTGGTACCCCAGGGTTTTTGGCTGCAGGGTAGATCAGGGATGTCCCTCTGTTATAAGCAATGCATGCATTTATTCATTTAAATCGCAGCCAGGGCAAACCCAGGTGAAAAGACCAGAGGAAAACCAGGCTGGCCTGCTCCAGCGGTGCTGGGGCAGGGGTGCTTCCCAGACCAAGACATGAGACCACCCACAACCCCATCCCACCACAGGCGCTCTGCTATGCTGCCAGAAGGGAAAAGCATTGGCTGTCCCAGATGGATTTTTCTCCTGTAGCAATTGTCACCTTACCTTAGCTTTCTGTAGGACTGTTCCCTTCCCCGTCACCATGACGGACAAAGGCCGGTTTTTTAAAGCTGTTGCTGAATTGACTGGTGAGTTCTCTGCGCTATTTGCTGGACTGGCACTTTTTGCTTGAATCTACAATAAAAATAATAGAAATTGTGTTGACTTTAGACTATGGAGAGAGATTGCTGCCTTTCACCACCATCTCCTAGAAAAGCTCAACAGTCACAGTCCACTTGCACTGAGAGGCGTTTTTCAGTGACATGCTGATTTCAAAATACCACCACAGTATGTGTGGGTGTTGAGGACTCAGGCAGAAGTACAGAGCAGGATTCTGGTGGTGACTCTCTCCATTTTATGGAAACCAAGTTCCCCAGGAAGGAATTCAGATGCCTCAATCTCCCCCTCAAAAAACACCCCTTGGCTCAGCTGAGCGCAGAAGGATCTCGGCCCAGATCTGCCCAGTCCCTGTTGCTCAAGGTCCCACAGGGAAATACAGTTGCCCCCTTTCACCTCCCCATCGCTGCTGTTTTCTCATTGTATTATTATCATTATTTTTATTATATACAATAATTAACATAATATTTAGATATAACAGAAATGAAATCTAAACCATAAATAAAAAAATTATCTATTGTAATAATATATTATTATTAGTTATTAAATTAACTACCCAGTTAAACTACCCAGTGCAACTACCCAGCTGCGGGGAAGCTGCTGTGCAGCCTGGGGGTGCCCCCCACATACCCGGGGGGCTGCGTTCTCCAGATGCGTGGTGTCCACCGCTGTGCCCAGTGTCACCGGGCCAGACTCTGCCTTCTTCAGGTTCTCCTTCACCTCCACCAGGCTCAGCTCCAGGTCCACCCTCCGGCTCTCCTTCCTTTTGCACTCTTCTTCTATCTCCTTCAGCCTCTGCTCCAGGCTCTTGTCTGTGAAGGGAGGGGTAACTCGGTGCAAGCCGGGAACTTGGGGAGCAGGGACTAGGGCAAGTCCTTATATTTTGCCCCAAGAGGGACTGCGACAGAGCAAGCTCTTGCTCTAGGGCACATTGGGGTACATGATTCGGCTCAAAGTGCCAGGTCTCCCCCCTGCCCCATGGTCCCACCTTGGCTCATTTCCACACATCGCCCCTTCCCCTGCTCTACCTGTGCTGCCTCCAAGCATTTCCTTCAGCTCCCGTCTCTCCTTGCGCAGCTGGGTGAGCTGAGCCCGGATTTCATCCTTTTCCTTCTCCAGCCGCTCCTTCTCCTCTGTAAATCTCTTCACCTCTGCCTCTGTCCTGTTCTTGCCCAGCTTGGTTTCCACTGCTGCCGCTGGAAACGCAACCCACCAAACAAGCTCAAGCCAGGGGAAAAAGCAGAAGGGAAAACCTTTTCACGTGCTCGGAAACAAAATAAATAAGGGTCTGGGAAGTCACAAACCAAGAGACTCATCAGTCCCTTGGGCACTGTACAGCTCCTGCATAGCAGCAGAAAGCTGAACCACAGGGCAAAACTCATGCCTGGAGCACCACCTCCCGCCAAGCCCCTGCTGCAGCGGGCACCCCCTGGCCACCTCTGCAGCCCTCTCACCCGGCAGTGGCATCTTGGGCCGGTGTGCGGGCACCAGCTGGGGACTGCCTGCTGTCACTGTGCCTGCCGGCAGCTCAGGGGCCGGCTGGGGGAAGGCGATGTTCTGCTGCTGCGTCTGGATTTTGACGGCGGGCATCCGTGGCGGCGCCTCGTCAGGCTCCGGCTTCTCTGGATGTTTCTGGAAGGGGGAAACAAAGTGGGATGATGTGGCCGGGGGGATCTGTCCCACTGATGAAGCTTGGCCCCACCCTGCAGTTGAGGACAGTACCTGCTCTGAGGTTTCCACTGCCTTACTGCAGGGCTCAGCTTCCTTATCCGTGGGGGCTGTCTCGGCGGCGCTCTCTGCTGCAGCCTTGTTGGCAGCTCTTTCTAAAGATGGTGAGCTGAGGGGTGAAGGCTGGCACGACTTCTTGCCAGCACAGTGTAGGAAGGACTTCACTGGGGTGAGATCCAGGTACACTCTGTCTTGGTCCCCCTCCAGTTTGCTTTCACTCTTGGGTACTTCTTCCTGCAAGAGGAGAAAGTTCCCCTGAAAAGGGACCGTCTGCTGCAGCCAGACGTACGATCAAAGTCTCACTGCAGAGCAGCACCATCTCAGGCAAGCTGGAGTATTTTCCATAAACCTTACAGGAACTAAAACCCCGTTCTCTAAGTCCCTCCATATGGGGCTTTTTGGTGTACTGAAGGGACGCCCCCCCCGCTCTCCTTCAATAGGTCTTTCCATTGGTAGCAGCAGCCTCTCCCAGGGATCTCACACTGTTGTACATCTAGCAGCCCCTGCCACGTCCTTTGTCTTTCCCAGGAAACAGTCCCATCCCCAGCGTGGCCCATCTTTCTTTTCATTACACACAGGACTTGCTCTCACAGACATCAAGAGGAATTTAGATTGACGGGGCTCTAAACAATCCACTATCTTATATCCAAATAATCCATGCTGTTTGCCGACAAACCCGTGGGGTTTCATCCCAGCTCCCTGAGGATCCCTAAAGCACCCTGCTGGAAACCTCTCTCCGGCTCCTTATCAACTCCTCTCCAGCACCCGCTTCTGCCCTGTTGCATAATCCTGGATTTCCCTGGGGGCTGGGAATCCCCTTTGCCGAAGTTTGACAACCCTCCCCCTTCACTGCTGGAGTCTCCCCCTGGCCAGATGTTTACCCATGCTCTCCAGCAGAGCTCGCTGCAGCGGGGCGGACTGCCGGTGGCACCGCGCATCTTACCATGGGCAGGTCTGGCAGATCCACATCGTCATACAGCTCCTCCTGCTGCATCCTGCCCTTTGGCAGGTTGTCGATATAGGCGTTGGGCTCAGAGTACTTCCTCTGCATTAAGCTGTGAACAGGCAGCGGGACATCCCATCAGCAGGGATGGGGTCTCGCTGCATGGCGGCACTGTGCTAAATTTTGGGGGCATCGGAATGCAGCAGTTCTGGGTATGGGAAGGGCCACATGCAGGAGATGAGAAGGTAGAGCCGTGCAGCAATGTGATCACTGGTCCCATTGCCCGTTAAGCAGCACACACCAGAGAGGGGCTATACTTCCCCTCAGCTCTTTCCTTTCTCGTCCAGCCCTTGAGCACAGCAGCACCACAGCCCTGCCCCAGTGGCATGGCAGCTCTGCGAGCACCATGGGTGCGTGGCCACGGTCCCACACCCCCAGCCAAGCCCACCCCACCAACCTGCCACTTGCAAAGGCCACCTGGGCATGTGCCCCTAACCCCGTGACAGCTGCGGCTCTGGTTAGAGTTGTCATGGTGGGACAACAAGTGCTCTTCTATCCCAAACAAAGCGATCAAGTCACATCCATGAATGCACCACCTGCAGCAGCCAACCTCTCGCAGGTGGTGGGACCCCAACACTCCAGCTTGCTTCTCCCCCACCAGTCCCCGCAGCCCCGCATGTTACCACTGACGTACAAGAAAGAGTTCTTCGCAGCGCTCACAATGCAGGAAACCCGGTCAGCATCCACGTAATCGTAGGTAAATTCCTCTGGGTCTGTTTTGGAACCCGATTCTGACAAGAGGAGGCCCAGCCAGTGGCCCATTTCCTCTGAGGACTTCGCCTGTGAGGTGGTCAGACAGAGAGCACAGGTTGCAGCAGCAGTTTCTCCGCACTCCCACGGCTACGGCTGACTGAGCCGTGGGTTGGGAACTATGCTGGCCATCCTCTGGGCTCGCAAGGGGAAAGGGGAACGACCATGTATTTATATTAAACCTGAGACCACGTCAAAAGAAGAAAGAAGTACTTCTCTGTGTATGGACTAATTCGCAAATTTGGAAGATATAGGAGTGCTTAACTCCTTCCTAGAATTTCTAGTCAATCTGCATTTTTCTTTCAGTGATGATCAATTCAGCTGCCTACAAGAGTAAGAGAAGTCTCTGTGGTGGGAGATGCTGGTGGGGAGCTGGCTTTGGAGAGGGACGTTTTATTTTGCACCAGCAGAGCGCAGCAAGGGGATTGCCAAACACCGACTCAAGGAGACTGGAGCACACCAGGGAGCCTGCGAGCTCCTTACTCCCGAGCCCAAACCCCTGCCAGGGCTGTTTGTACAGGGCAGAGGGGAAGGGGAGAGTTTAAAGTGGGATCAGAGAAGAGCTTCAAAGACAGCCCCTCACTTTAACATGGTCAGTACCAAATTCCCAGCTGCAGTGAACAGTCTGATGTTTTGCAAAATTAAGAATTAAATATGGTGCCTCAAAGTCAGCTCTAGCAAATAGCCACACGTGCTTCCTAGTAGTGGGGGATTTCCACCTGAAGCAAGAAGAAGTGGGCTGATGCAGCCATCTTTACATCTTTTGCTTTGATTTGAGGAGTTAGAGCAGTAAGCGCAAAGTAAAATTCAGGGCAAGTGAGTCCCAAATTGGAAGGTATATTTTAAGCTTCCGATCTGTTTTATTTAGCAGAGACTTCAGTCCCCGGGAAGCCAGCCAGCCAGTCTGTACATTGAGTCTGACATCACAACAAAATACAGATTCTTCCATTCACAAAATGTAAATTTTCACAGCACCTCTTCTTCACATCTGTAATTAGGCAAAATTTCTTAGACACAGACATACCCTGAATCAGAAGCTAAACAAAAACACCTTCAAACTTCATGGCAAGCATTCAAAGTCAGTTGTTTAGCTATAAATATTCCACCCACTGGAAAAATACAGGAAATTGCTCACATTGTCCACCTCCTACTATAATCACGCTGTCGTCAGAGAGAGAACTAAGATTAGAGATAAACAGTCCTGGATGCAGGCAAAGGAAAGTAACAGATGGAGATGAATTCACTTGCACTTTCAGGGGCAGATCTGTGATTGGTTTACTTGGGATGACTTTGGGACTCTCCATCCTCAGAAGATGAAGTTCTCTGTTCCTCCTAACCACAGACTTAAATCCCTAAAGTGGCATTCCTCTCATCTAACATTAACCATCTGAAATACATCCCATATAACTTAATCATCCAAGCTTATCCTATAGTCAGTGGAGAGAGATGGGCACCTCCAGAGGACCCTTCATCCCATCCTAAGATGAGTGCCTAAGATGAAGGCTGAGTGGTCCTCTGGAGGCACCAGCATCAGACAGAGCCTGGATTATCCGCTAGGCAGGACACCTTCTAGGTGACCACAGGCAGATGAACCAAAGTCCCATACTTCAGGTTCTGTTTTGCTGGACTGAGGGTTCCTCTGGAGGACCTCACCAGCACTTAGGCCAACTAAGATACCCAAGCTGATGACTTAAAGCAGAGTTTGCTTGGACGTATACACCCTACCTCCAGAACGACCCGTTCTTCCCCGTTGTGCAGGATGCGGAAGGAGTAGAGATGATCAGGGCTTGGCTCTGGGATAACTTCACAACCTGCCAAACTCAGGGGTTGCTGAGCCACTTTGCTTCGGTTCTTGTCCTGGTAGAAATGGAGGTGACCGTCTTTTATCTGACACCAGCGGGACTTCCACTGGGTGTTCACTAGCACGTTCAGGTAACCTGCAAGCAAGCACAGGTTACTTAGGCATATTTTTCACCCCAGGGGGAGAGGAAATCCAAACTCATTTGCCTGCACAGGGATATGTGATGAGTAAGTTCTGAGAGTCACCGCACAACACAAAGCCGCAGGCAATGACAAAGAGCAAAAGCAGAAAGAGAAGCTGTCCTGCCCATATGAAACAGAGTGAAAAGGATAAAAATCTGTTCAAAATGAGACCCTTGAAATTCAGGTTAGGTTTGGAGCAGCAAGTTGGCTGCAGACGGTTGGACAAAGCTGGTCCCAGATGATGAATACCAGCTGACCCACGCAGCCCTCTCCCTGCTGACTCCCACACCCTGGGCTGATGCCCACGGAGAGCAGCACAGAAGCCCTCTGCGTGCACGTCTGGTGTTACATGCCCTTCCTCTTGGGTCACCCTGTGAGCTATTGCCCGCCCTTGTAAGCCACACAGTCACCTTAACATGTAAGAGGCACCACAATCTGCATGGATTTACTGGCACAGACCAAGCTGACTGTGGCCTCTTGCCTCCCCCAGCAGGACAGCCTGGCACATGCGCATTTGAGGAGATGATGCCTGGTGCTCATCCTGCCCTGCAACACCAAGATCCAGCCCTGAGACAAGTCCCTGCAGGGGAGTTCATGTTGCCACTTACTGGAAGTCTCCAGGGATCTCTCTGGGCTATCCAGGGAACTGGATTTTTTCCTCCCGAGGTTCATCAGGTTGCTCAGTTTCAAGCCAGTTGTACCCTTCTTCTTAACTACCAGAAAGGAAAAAGATATGTGTGGTTTTCCCACCTCGCAGCCCGACACGCAGCCCGCTGTCCTCGCTGGGTGTCCTGCCCCAAAGCTGCCTGGGCTGCCATCCTGCACCCAACAGTGCTGCGGCACACACATCCCTTGCAAAGGACAAACCTGTGACTCAGGGACAGGCTGTAATAGTCCAGAGCCCAGGGAAATGATGAGCAAGATGGCACCAGTAACTTCAGTTAAGTGACTTGCCAAAGACACTTAATCTATATGGTGTCCTCACACCAGCGGCTGCTGGAGCTGCAGGAAGGCTTTGCACAGGTCTTGCTGCACAGCTGCCAACCTCCCTTTCTTACACTACAAAGAACTGAATTAAAAACCATTACCCATAATTTTTTACTGTCTTCAAGTCCTTTGCTTTCTAAAAGAGGGACTCAAGGCAGAAAGGGGGAAAGCTTATGCCCAAGAGCCTCTTCAGCTTTTCCCACTGACCACATCAGTCAGTGCGTGAATATGGCTGTGGCTGTGTAGTCATCAGGGAATCTTGATAAGAAATCAAGTTGGATGCTTTTACTCCAGATTTTCTTTCTCTCTGGTATAACAAAATGATGAAGTCCTAGTGTAGAGGGACTCAGCAGCCGAGTTCCATCTGTTGGGTGTATCCAGTGAGTCCTCAGCATGGATTTCTCTTTCTCTCTAATACGTAGATGGGTCCCACCATCCTTCTAACAGAGCATCTCCTCTTATAATGTACTTGCCTACCCCATCTTATAGGTGGAGAATGGAACTTAAAGCCCAGAGTCAGATGCCCCAATGCAAAGGTATACCTCTCCCATTGGAGACAGCTCTGCATTTCACGCAGGTACTCCAAGTTTCTTCCCAGAGATCTCTGAGGAAAGTCACTTAGGTTGTATTTATTCCTTCTTAAACTGTCCCAAAGTGACTTGCCCAGAGTCATGCAGGATCTGTGCGGTAGGGCAGGTATCACACACAGGTTTCTCAAGCCCTATCCTAACTATCTAACTGCTGAGAAATCCCAACATCCACTTGTCACTTCATTATGGAAAAAAGCACTGAAATCATTTCAGTCAATTCACAGGCAGTGAATTCACATGGAGTTTTCCTCTGCATCGGGTCAGTTTGGGGCAGCAGCAGCAGGAGACGCTACAGAAACCCTCACTACATGTGCAGGGTCAATGGCCCGCTTTCCCCCTCATTCCCAGGGTGAATTTTTACCATCTTTTATCTCAGCCATCTCTGGGTGGCCATCCGTGCTGCTTCCACTCTCAGAGGCTGCAGAGTACCTCTCGGATACCTCCACCTGTCAACAAGCACCAGACACAAGCTCCACAGATGGACGTGACCCATTCCTCCAGCCAGCACCCACCATAAGTGCCTTCCCCCCCCCTCCTAAATTACGAGGTCCCACCCTCTCTGCAGCAGATGCTTTCACACAGACATCCCCATCCGCCCACTGATGCGGTGCCCTCCCTGCTGTGTCTCAGCCTGGCATGGGCAGATCTGGCACACAAATTGCCCCAGCTGGGCTCGTCTGGGGGCATTTGCTAGTCCCCATAGGAGGGCATGGGCAGAGGAACTGACCAGGTGCCAAAACTGGTCCGTTTAGGGTGTCCACCTGAGACTTACGAAGGTTTCTTTCTCCTCCCACTGTTTTGGAACAAGCTGCCCCCAGGGAATTGTCACCTAGACCTGGACTAAAGACTGGCCCAAGGCCTGGTGACCAAGGGTCTATGTCCCTTCCAAAGCTCTTGGTGAGCACAACTGCCCTGTTGGATGAGATAGCGCTGCTGCCCTGTACAGAGGAGAGCCCAATGCAGAGGCAGTTTTGGAGGAAAGATGTGGCAACAAAATTAAGATTGCAAAGCACAAATAAGATTGTTCCAATAATGCTCCTTTTCAGCAGAACAGGGGTCTGGTTACACTCATATCAGTCTTTGCTCAGATAAAATTACTGCACCTACAACTATTATTCCTTAAAGGAACAGGGTGGAAAAGCCTAACTACCAGTTCTCTCTGTAGAGACAAGGTGTACCTTTGGGTAACTGAGACGCTGAGAATCTGGGATGTACTGGTTGCCTTCACTGGCTCCTTCACAGAGCAGACCACTGGTCTCCTGGATTACCTGTACAGAAGGGGAAGCCATAGCCTGTGAGAGAGCTGCAGTGACAGCATCAATACTTCTCCCCCTACCCAGGAGAGGCAAAACCACAGCAGCCCACGAGACCCATGGTTTACACTCCCTGCGACGCCGGGGACTTTGCTGGTGTTGCAGCAGGCAGCCAGCAGAAACTGCTGGATCCGAGTCAGCCACGGAGAGGCGGCCAGCGAAGGCAGCCCTGGCGCCTCACAGCCCGTTGTCGCCCTGGGGTCTGTGAAAGCTCATTCTTCTGCTGCCGTCTCAAGGAAAGGGCCACATCTCCCCCTGCCCTCAGCCAATTCATACCCACCCCAGACATCCCTCCTGCCGCAGCAGCTGGGCTGGGAGGTCCCTCCGTGGCCTCCTGCACGCAGAAGGCAGCAAGGATCTGCATGAAGCAGCTATCCCAGGACATGAAAATGAAGTGGTGTATTTGTATACAGGCTTGCGGTGAGGAAAGGAGCCAGAGCACACAAGGACAGGACTGAGATTAGATATGGTCTCCAAGCAAAGCCAGGGTAGAAGCATGGGAGCACCAGCAGGGCAAGCCCCGAAGGCGCCACTGACCCTGAGCCACTGCTCTGCCTGGTCTTTACTCTGCAGCCCCAGCACGATGACATCGGCATTCATGGGGATGATCTTCAGCTTGTGCTCCTTCTTCCTCACTTGCTTTTCCTTGTGAATGACAGTGCAGCCCAGCAAATTCACATCGAGCTGAGGGCTGTGGTCTTTGGAGCTCTTGTAGCACTGGGGAAGGAAGATGAAGGGCAGGTAAGAGGCTGAGGAGGAGCCTTCCCTGTCGCTTGCTGGTGTGAAGCCACCCCTAGAAGTGGCTCAGTGCAACCACACGCATTAAGTGCACTGAACACAAGAAGGTCCTCTGGGTCCTACAGGGCTGCAACGTCTACACAGACTACACACAGGACATCTCCATATGAATAGAGATACACATACATCTATGTACATGCATATATAGTCTGAAATACCTCTCACGGGTACTGCTAGAGGGTCAAATGTGGTTAGCCAGTGGGATAAGCATCCCTCCTGTTTAACCACCTCAAAAAGTTTCCCCAAAAAGCATCTGTAGGCATTTTGGGAGTTTGGGATTTTGGCCACAAATGTGCCCTTGTGCCGCCCTCAGGAGCCCCATGCCCACAGCCCTTCTGAAAATGGAATGAGATCCCCAAATCCCTGGGACGTGGGTTTTGAAGCATTGCTTCTAGAGGTACTTTGTTTTTCCCCAGCTAGTTAACATGGCCTGAGGTGCCACTTCCCTTCCTAGCTCATGAAAATAGGCAGAAAGTGGAGGATCTACCCACCAGCAACCTGGTGTCCTTGATAACACACAGCTGTTTTGCCCACTGTCCCAGCCACTTCTTTCTCCACAGGAATGCACAGATGCGGGCGTCCTTCATCAGCTCGATGGTGGCCTCCGTGGATGGCCACTGATGGGTTGCTGACTTGCCTTTGCTGCTCTCTTCTTCATCATAAGATTCGTAGGAGCTACTAACAGCTTCACCATCTTCTATAACAAAAGCAAAGCTCTATCATTACATACATTCCCAGGACAACTCCGAGCCCATTGATTGCCTCAGCCATGCTCACACATGCAAAAGCTTCCAACACAGGGATGTGTCTTTTGAGGCTCTCCTACAGGATAATCCATAGGAACCACCCCCCCCCCCCCCCCCCCGATCCCTTGTGTTTTTTTTTTCCTTTCTAGCCCAATATTAATCTCATTGAATGTTTTGTGCCTAATAGTCTCAGCAAACACTCAAAAGACACTTCTCAATTGACCACAAATTTGGGAACAACCCCTTAGACATTTTCTGACGTTTGCTGCTCCCCCCCCCCCCCCCCAAGATGCTTTTTCTACTTTCCACTTCAAGCCAAACACTCACAATTTTTAAGATAACAGCAAGCTACAATCAGCCCTTGTCCTCTGAATGTCAGAAGTAAAACTGGTATTTGCGAGGCCATGCAGCAAGCAATGATCTATTGTATTTGAGATGTCATTCCTTTTTCCCTCTCTGGGCTAACAGGTCTCTCTCTCTACTCAGCATCTAAGGGACAGCAAGGGGCTTTGAAGTAATACACTGCTGCAGCAGCAAAAATTAGTCATAAGTGGCAGCTGTAAATAACAGTAATCACATTTTTCATGTTCATTCTTAAATGAATTGCTACTTTATTAGGATGAGTTGGGATTTTCAATACCCAGCTCTAACGTACTGTAGGTTATTGGACTTTTCAGCTGATAGGAACAGCTGGTCATTGGTACCAGATTAATCAGAAACAATGAAAATGTTCCCACTGACTGCAAGGGAATTTGCCATGCTCTGCTGGCGTTTACAGTATAGCTCTTATTTGCAAGGTAAGCTCACACAGCAAGATGGTAAGATTTGGGCAGCATCTTTGTAGGGTTTTGCATTCTTGTCCTACCAAACAGCATGGAGGAATATTGTTAAGTTTCTCTCACCAGAATTTAATATAATTTTGATTCTCATCAAATCTTAATATACACATAAAAGTAACATTATCAGCTGGTGCAAAATAAAAAGAGGAAAAGCAGCCAGAAAAGAGAAAAAGAAAAAAAAAAAGCATTAGGAGCTTCACTGAAGAACATTTCTTAAGTTTGGTTTATTTGTTCTTAAAATAAAAGAAACTGAGATGCAGTACCAAAGCTACAGCCTTACCCCCAGTCTCCTCTGGTGAAATCTTACACTATAACATCCCTCAAGTGATCAAAGCTGCACCAATTAAACAAACTTATTAAAAAGCAAATAGTCCCTTTCAAAGTCTCTCAACGGTGCTGACAGCACACTACTGGCTCACCATCTCCATCCCCTTAATGTATCAGACAGTCCATCTTCTATGGGAACACATTACCCACCAGTGCATTATCACTATGCCGACCTTTGTCCACAGGCACCTGAGCAGGAATTCAGATGGAGCAAAAGTGATGAGTTTCCTTCTCTCTAGGAACGCCAGGAAGCTGAACCTCTGCACTGCTAGGGACCCTTCCTTACGCAGCCAAGGGAACCTCATCTTCTAAATCTTCCTCCTTACCAACATGGGGCTATTGCTAACTGCTCCTCTCGCCACTCTTGGGTGTCTCTGGTGCCCCTCACCCAGGCGTTAGGCCTCAGGCTGCCACCTTTCTCCTGGGGGAAAACACATTTCTTCCATGCTCTCAGCAGGAGCCCTGGCTGCTCAACCACAGCCACAAGTGCTTCATCAGATGAGCTCTTCTCTACTTGAAGAGCTGCAGCTGTTGCTGGCCTGGTGACACTGCTACAGCCTCATGATGGAAAGGCATTTTCCAGGCTGTGTGGTTGGCAAACTGGGACAAACCTTGCTTGGGTGACTTGAGACAACCCTGTCATCACTACTAAGGCTCACTCAGTCCCAAGTCATATAGCTCAGACACTTCAGTACAAAGTCTCCATTTCCACCTACTGGCAGTTTCAACAGTTTTATCCTCTCATTGCCATGACATCAGTGGCAGCCATGTTCTTGGATGTCTTAATCTCACCCACCTCTGCTTTCCCGTTTGTCTTCTCATGACCTCCCAGGGAGCTAAATCAATACCATGACGCAGGAAGCTCCAACCATCTCGTACTCCAGAACTGCCTCTACCCAAGCAGAGCACCTTCAAAATTCACTGCATGGCTACTTGTCAATACAGCCAGCGTTACCACATATCAGCTCCACATCAGTGATGAGAACCAGGGGAATAAAGACTAGGGAAGTTCTCTTCATTGTCATCTTGAACACGGAAAGGCACATAAAATGCCACCTTGTGTACATCCAGCATGGGCAGAGAGAGGGGAGAGGTGGTTACCCTCCATGCACATAATGGGCAATGCCAGGGGGAAGCACCTGATCATCTTTGCTGAAACTAAGTTGTTGGGTTTTTTTGTTTGTTTGTTTGTCTGTTGTTTTTTCTTTTTTTTAAAGGCACTTCAGGTTTGGAAAACATGCCATACCCATCGTTATTGTGGCATAAATAACGCCCTCAGTAACCTGCAACCCTGGCCTGGGTCCAGCCGCAGCAAGCCTACCAAAAAGACCTGCACAGTCAAAAGGAAAGAGAAAGGGAGACAAAGAGAGAAAGCCACAGATAAGCAAATGCGGAGAACAAGGGTACCAGTCCGGCTCAGCCCCATGCTCCCCCCTCGGCCGGTGAGGCTGCCCCATCCCTGCTGCCGGCAGAGGAACACGCCGTACGATGAGACTTCAACAAACACAGACAACATTTTCAACCCATCCCCTCAAACAAGGCAATTCCCTTTAAAACAGAATCATCGTCGTCGTAATTAAAATCAGCCAGGGCAGATGAGCTGTTTCAGCCAGAATAATTATTGCTCAGTTGGCAGTCACGTTGCCCCTTGCGTTTTCACTCTGTTTCTTATCGCACCCTTCAATTATGCAAACGCAGCCGAGAACGAGGACGATAACGGTTTAACACATTTCAGCCCAGGAGGAAAGGGAAGCAGCAGCGTTTGCTGGAGCTGTAGAATGAAAGGCAGAGGCATCCCCGGTGGAGGGGTGGGACTCCTGCTGATGAAAGAGGGACCCCGAGACCCAGCGGTCTTGCCCACCCGCTTCATTTTAATTAATTCACCCATGGTTTGTTACAGTGCCTTGCAGTCCCACCTCTGATGCTGCGCGAATTCTCTATCTCCTCAGCCCATCTGGAGGCTTGCTTTGATGTCCTTTCTTAGCAGTGCACCCAATAATTTTAATGATGTTTCTATTTTTGTTTGATTTTACTATGCCCATTTGTTTGGAGATGCATGGGTGTCTTCCAAGGCTCATGCTGTAATTCTGTTGGAAACACCACCAGCAGCTCCCTGGACCGCCAGCCCCTTTCAGACCCAGCTTGTGGGGAGAGGGGGGTGAGCACAGAGGGCATGGAGGGTTACTGGGGTCAGGCTTTAGCATCTTTGGCCAGGGCAAACCCATGCATGTCCAGACCACCCTTTAGCAGCACCAGTAGTGTCAAGGTCTCAAGGCAGTTGCTGCCAATGAGCATCGCTCTACGTAGGACGGGTACAGGACACTATTGCCTACCCTACGCGTGGTGTGCCGTACTTCACCCTCTCCTGAGCCCCCCCAGCCTCCTCCTGCCACATACCTGCTGCTCCACACCTCTCCCTGCCCCTCCTTCCCGCTCACCCCAAGCATGAGGTTGCCAAAAAGCACAGAGATTCTCAGTGACATGATGCTGCCTTCCTTTTCACACAAACCACCGTAAAAGCCACCAGCATTATCGCACACCAGGTGGTTTGTGTAGAAGAAGGGACCTGCTGGGGCCCGCAGAGGGGACCGGTGGTTGAGCAGTCATGGGAGGGCAAAGGTACCACACACCTCGGCGGCGAGGGACTGCCTGGGCTTGCACGTCCCATCTCTGCTTGCTTCACGGGCTCCTATCTCCACTTAACCACTGTGATACTGCTCGGTAAAACACCGAGCCCACTGGTCAACAGCTGTTCGTAGCAGCCACAGGCTGCCCCATTTTGACTGTGCTCCCATCATATGGGGTTTTCTCTCTTTTTCCAACCATACCTGCAGGGCTCTGGTCTCTCACTTCCTTAGGTGTCTGACCGGCCCAGATTTCAGTGGATGGTGGGTGTATTTGCATCTTTGAGCAGCAGGTTACCAAGGAGGAGCGGAGGTTTAAGCTGGGTGTGTGCTTATCGCTCCTGCCAGCCAAGGCTTGCAACGCAACGCGTGTTTATGGAGCTGCCTGGATAACATAACCTGGGTTTCCCAGCACACAGATCCATGGCCGTACTCCAGCTAATCCGGTGTATGTCTTTACATGCCACGGCTCTTAGCGCGTTATCCTCTTTCCCAGTGCACAGCAGGGAAAAAAAAAACACAACCCAGTCCATTTATCTTACAGTGCAGGCAACTGGAAACCCCCTGCGGGGACACAAGGCTGCAGCGGCTGCAGGAGGGCTTCAGTCCCCTGCACCCTGCTCGGCACAGCCCTGCCCTCAGCCAAACAGCCCACAGCGTTTCGGCAACACCGAGCTGGCACCTAACCACACGTGGCAGAGCAGGGGGGAACCTCTCCTCTGCACCAAACGGCATGTTTCACCCTGGCCATGATGAGCCTGCACCTTTTCCCACTCCAGCTGGGCGTGATCTTCCTGTTCACCACTGTAACGAAGCTGCAGTCAAAACGGGAGGGTTTTGGGAAACAAAGATCTTTCTGCATCTCTCTTTTCGTGATTAGCACTGTCACTCCTAAGCCGTTGTGAGAACAGCCACCCACACGGAGCTGCGAGCCGTCCAGGTGTGCAAGGTGCACACTCGCAGCGAGCGCTGTTCAGATACATCAACCTCCCGCCACTTCAAGAAGTGGCACTGCCGGCACTTCCCTGTTCCAGGGAACACACCGGGGCTGGAGAGGACTCAGCTTCTCTCGTGAACAGCTCAGACTCAGCAGCCAAGGGTTTAGATCCAAACCTTGTACCCTGAACTCTCACTTCGCTGTTTGCTTTGAGTCTCCCCGCTCAGCTCTGCCCCACACCACGTACGCCACTGCACCCCACTCCGCTGCAGTCGAGGCTGACGAGCACCCGCTTCTTCTGCAGCACAGTGGTATCATCTGCCTCCTTTGGGCTTAAATGGATGATAAAGCGATGACAAGATCAGCTCTGCTATCAGATCAGAGGCAGGCAATCTCTCGTGAAGGGTGTTCACCCAAAGAAGGATGCGGAAATACATCTTAAAAAGCGAGAATCTGGGAGCTCAGCCTGCACGCAGCCGTCTCCTCCCGAAGGGTTGCGGAGCCCACGGGTGACAGGTATCGGTGGCGCTGCTGAGGACACTGCTGAGAGCTGCTGACCCAGGCAGCGAGCGAGTGTGCGCAGAGGGAACCCGCACACTGTCCTCTCACATGAAGTGTGGCTTTTTAATCAGGTTTACAGATGGCTAAACTGCCACAAGAGACATAGCTGAATAAATAGTCAATTATAAAAACGGTTATCACGGCTAACAGACCAACAGAGTCAGGGATTTTGAGCCCCAAAGGGACGATTAGAGCACTAGGACATGAATGCAAGCCACCACAGCGTCACCACTCACTCCTTAATAGAAACCCGTGTTTGACTACAGCCTATCTTCCAGAAAACCATCCAGACAAAGAGAACCCACAATGGTTTATAATATTTTACAGTGACGTTATATTAACCCAGGTCTACTACTTATTTCCACAGGAACATTAAAAATTTGAGTAATTCAGTAGCCTTTTCTTTCCAACTAGCATTAGATCTGTAATATCAAATGTGACCAGCAACAGAAAACAAAGACGTAAGAAACGTCCGCACTTTCATCTACTCGTTCTCATAAACCTCAAGTCCTCCATCTCCCACATAACCCCTCCCCCTCCCCAGACGTTAGCTGTGATATACCATTTACAGAGACATCATATGGCTCAGCCTCTTCATAATATCCCTCTGGGGATTCGATCTTGGGGACCGGAGGTTGTTTTGTTTCCGGAATCTGCAGAATAAATAAATAAATAAAAGAAGCATGATTTAAGGTAAAAGCAGATACTTGAAAAAAAACAGAGCATCCTTTTCATTAGCACTAAAGTGCATCCGAGTGGATGAGACCTTTCACGTGTGTACACCAGGATTTTAATGTGAACTGGTTGAGGTGACAGGGAAGAAAGAGACTGTGGAGTGTTTCCAGTGTACAGTTAGCTCAAATATAAAGGAGTTCTTTGAAATTACTGTATAATTGTGTCATAAATATTATTTTCTCTAATTTTGCTGAGAGCCCCAGGAAAAGATCAACTCATGCCTTTCCTCAAAAGCAGCAATTCCAACCCATTGGCCTTATCATGAACTGGGACTTCTGCCTGCTGCACTGATACTCCCCCCCAAGCTGCTCATCGTAACCGGGGATGATCCTCTGTGCTATTCATTATCTGAACAGAGAACCAGAAGGGCGGACATTTGGGGAAATCCTGGCTTTACACTGAAAAGCATAGCCTGAGCGGTCGCTGGTCGTGTCTCCACGTCTCTGACTGATAGCAAACCAACAGCTAAAAATCTCTGCTTTAGGAACTATATCAGGAATCTTTAATTGTGCTCTGAGCAAAAGATGAAGGAAATGGATAAACAACACTGATGGAAAATAAGTCTTTGAAAAGAGTCCAAGTGTTGGAAAATCCCTGTGCTGCCTGCCAAACCCCTCCCTAAACACAAGCAAGGGCTGGCAGGAAAAACAGTGCCTTGATCCTTTAGAAATACCAACACATGAGAGAGAGAAAAAAAAAAAAAAAAGTGAAGCTAAGAAACAAACTTTTTACTTTTCAAGTAATTCACATGGCTGTTGAACGTGAGACAGTGGAGCCAGAGATCACAACTGGATGAAGACACAGCTTACACTCTTCCCAAAATACGTGGCATCCCACCTCTCCCATCACGATCCAACAGTAGCATCCCCCCGTTCCCCAGTGACTTGTCCCCTCTCCTCGCCCAGGTCAAACCACCTCCTGTCATCTGACAACGGTATGCTCTGGCTCACCCCACTTCAACTGGCTTCTGACCAAGACCTGTGCAAATCCTGGGTAGGATGCTCAGTGCACGCAGGGCTAAAGCCCCACTTTCCCCAGGAGGATGGGCCAAAGAGCAGCTCGCTCTCTGCAGACAGCAATGTGGAAGGTCACGGATCACGCGCAGTCCTTCATGCCGGCCCACGTGATTGCTCCTGGTGGTCTGGAGAAGAGAGGCCAGCTGGCCATCAACATTGCAGAGCGGTCTAAGGCAGGATCAGTCCCTTTGCAGGTCACACCAGCATCATCAAATGCAGGTTCAAAGCTGTCCACCCTGCCCTGGATATTTCAAACAGGTACTGCTGCCCAGGTGTAGAAAGGAAGCTTTGAAGGAAAAGATGTTCTGGCCAGCAAGTGCCCACCAAGGGGAACGCAGCTGATCCTGTGGGAGCTAGGTACCCTGACCACACCAGCCAAAATCACATGTCTCTGCTCCCACGTGGGCCAGCTGCCCATGGCTTTGCCAACCTCGCAAACTTCTCAAGTGGCTTGGATGAAAACCCCTTCCTACGTGGGTCTGCCAGATGCCGTGAGCACACTCTGAGCTTGCTTTCCAGAGCCACGTGGGACACACTGCCAGAAAACACTTGCCTCCAAACACTTAAAGGTTTAGGAACTTGTCCTAATGTGTTAAATTAAAGAAATAAAAACAAACCCAGCCACTCCAAAGCTTTACTTAATCCCTTCTCTGGCCAGGGAATGTGCCTGCAATTGCCATCTGTGGTGGCCTCCTGTGTGCAGCCAGCTCACATTGTGCTACGACCATAAACAAATTGCCTACACAAAGAAACACTGTGGGTTTATTTGACACCGTCCCACAAGTGTCAGGGAGAGGGAGTGAGGGGGAGGGGGGGAGAAGGGGCCGCTCTGCTTTGTTTCCTACAGACAATGGAAGCCAACAGGGACTAGGTGGGACTACACCTCAGCTGCTGC